CAATAAAGAATGAGGAATATTTTGGGTGTTGTAAGTCATGTGAATTTATGACAGGACATTAAAATAGATTTTACCTCAAAATTCTTACAAACATATATTATACTCACTGTGCATTATTTATAACTACCAAATTATTTGTAATATAAATACAAGCGATGGGAGTACTAGGAGTATCTAATAAGTTTATCAAATTATTAGCAGTATTTACAGTGCGAATCATTAAGCTGTGACCGGACAGAATTATTTCAGGAATGTGTAATCGAGAAAGGAATTTAGCCTACATACATTGTACAAGTAAAAATGAAAAATATAAATGATCAAACTTTGTATTTATCCTAAMCAATACAATCTTTCAACTTTTAAGCATTTATCGGCTGCTATTTGGTTGAAAATCAATTTTATTTCTTTGGAACCTTGAAGTTTTGGGCAATTTTGCATGTGCAAATGCACTAGATGACGGTAAATCTCACTTGTGATTGGTTGTTGAACAATAAACATTCCAAAAATATTTCTAAGTGGTCGCAGCTTTTCGATTCGCACTGTAATAGTGGACATTTATAAATGCTGTACACTATGAATGTTTGCACTGCCATATCACCTTAATACATATATTGATAGAGTTTTRATKGCCCTATTGCATAATTRCGTCACATCAAAACATTCTATTGTAGTTTTAACTCCGGAGGGCATCAGAGTGACTGCATATTAAATAAAATGTACAAGAGCAATCTTTGATACATAATATTTATCAAAACATGATAAATATAAGTTCTACTTTTAGTGAGAATATCAATCAGGTCCAAATTTCATCCCCAACATAAACAAACTGTRACATCATTCTGCAATAGGGAAATTGTGCTAAAAATTGTGCTCWAATTTTTCAGGTTGCATTTTCAGCATTGTATAGTGGTGCCTCTGCTGGTGACAAATGCACTTTATTCAGTGATAGAAACTTAATTAATCGACGTAACGTGAAAGCGGATGTCTCCTCAGCAGCCAATGCTTGCAGAAGATTCTTTATTATTGAGGTAGAAGCAAGAGTAGTTGCTGCAGCTCTGCATGTCCTGGGAATGGAAGACCTCAGTGGCAAACCAGTAAAACATCCATTTCCAGATGGTCTTGGTGACAGCTCATCTAAAGAAGAGAAAAAGGCATATCTACATAAAATTGCATTGCTAGTTGTAGATTCCTTTGTTGTYGACAAAGTGAGAAATGAAAAGATYGAAGAATCATGTAAGCTACTGGAGGAAAATGCAAAGAATAACACAGTCAATGCTGAAGGAAGATATCCATGTCGATATCCTGGATGTCAAAGAAGTTTTGCTCATGATGGAAAGCTAAGGAGAGATCATGAACAGCAACACAACCCTCCTGTTTCAAGTGTTCCAGATAACAAAGTAAAGAAAGGAAAAAGAGCAAAAGAAAGTGATGATTTAGGTGATGATATGCTTGCYTATCAAAGATCACTTTTGGACTATGGTATGCTATTGTTAAATTTCTGGGATGCCATTTCTGAGGGAGATGGAAAGCGTTTGATCCGCTGTTGGAAGTTCTTTTTATTGTATCTCAAACATGATAATGGCTCATCTAAATATTCCCTGGAGGCATTATATCTATTATTTGAAGTATATGCTTTACTTAGCCCAAGAGCATCCCATCGCTTAATCTGGAATAGATTCATTAAGAACAAATCTGGKATGGGAGGAAACATTCCATTGGATCTTCAACTTGAGTTTTACAATAAATCTGTAAAAGAAGCTATCAAAAAGCTTGGTCCTGCAGCATCACAGAAGTCAATTGACAGAATTTGYCATTCTCTAAGGATCACTACAGAACTAATGGAAAACTTTGACTCTAGCCTCAGTCTTTATAAAAGATGTGGGAAGCATACTAAGAAGTCAGTCAAGTGTGRTGTTGAGAAGGTCGTTAAGCAACTTGTTGAGCAAAGAGCATTCACTTACACAACAAATCGTAAATACCAGCATTACAGAGACATGCCCCCAAGTATGCTTACAGGCTTTGACATGCAAAGCTTGTACAAGTGGATCAACGATCATAAAAAGCATATGATACTTCACAGACGAGCACGTTAAAAACAATGACTTTGTAAAAAAACTTACATTTACATATTTACATTTTTCATATTACTAATAATCGTAAGTCATACGGTTACATACTAGTCTCACCTTCATGGCATATTCACGTTGTATCATCAGTGTCCATGGAGCTCTCTATTTCTTCTAATTCCYGGGTATCAAAAAACTGCAACAAGGTTGAATCATCTCTGATATTGTCCCATTCAGAAAACACAGTTTCATCCATCTCTGCATGTAATTCTTCAAAAGAAGAGAAATCAATGTTGACATCCTGAAATGTGTCACTGATGATCTTTAAAATCCCAATGGCATATTGAGATCTCCATATCTCAACTAACTGGACAACATCTTCCAACGTGAACAAGGAGTGACAGTGTTGCATGACTTGACTGATATGGAATTCATTAAACTCCAGTATAACATTGGGGCAAGACACTAATGACCTCACATCTATGTTGCTTTGCAGGCTTTGCTTAAATTTACAAAGCTTTTCATGCAAGACAATTTTATCTTTGTCACTGACAACTCTTGTTAACTGCTTGTGTTGATACTTCTGGAAGTACATTGACTTTGGAGAATCCTCTTCATTGATGTCTGGATTCCATAGCTGAGGACATCCACCACAATCACACTTCGAATGACAGTTCTTACAGCAGTTGTGCAAAAATGTAGAATCTTCAGTTCTTGGCTTTGATTCTGTTTGACTGAAGTGCACCATTAATAACTTCCTTAAACATAATTCAGCTTGAACATAGTTCTTAATGTCATTGTCACAGTAAGCAGAGAGTAATCCATTGTGCAAAAGAATGCATATACTTGCTTCCCCATCCCTTCCAGCTCGTCCACACTCCTGTATATACATTTCAATTGATTTTGATGGCCCAAAATGGATAATTCGTCGAACCTTCTTGCAATT